AGCGCGCGCAGGTGCCTGGACGGGCCTCCTCCCGCCCGCGCAAGCCGCAGCCCCTGCGGTCCCACCTCGCTTGCTGCCGTCTTGTCTCGAAGGACGGCAGGACGGGCCCGGCGGGCTGTGCATGATGGCGGTGCCAGCGCCCTCCCCTCTCCCGCGCCTCCCGCAGATGCACGCGCAGGGAGGTGAATGCGCACTTGTAAAAAGGTGCCCTCAGGTGCTTGTTAATGGTTGGCACTGTGTAATTAAGCGAGTTTTTAAAATGTTGTCTTTTGCCAGGATCTAATTAGCAGAGCCATCTGCTGAGAGCGCGGTGGCCCATCTGCCTGGCGTTCTCGCCTTTTTCATGACGAGTATCTGCCGTTGCTGGTCCTCGTCTCGGGAACTTCTCTCGCGCGGGATGCCTCAGTGCACGGCTTGGTTTCTGCGGCTCTGGGCACCGTGGATTTAGCTCTGCAGCCCTACGCGAGCACCCGGCTCCGTGCGAGCTGATGTTGTCCTCGGACCACGGCCTCAGCTGCCCGCAAGCACGCCTGTCGGGAACCAGAGGTGCTTCCTCACACCCTGATTCCGAAAGATGGAAACGAGCCCTCTGGAAACTCTTAGGCGCTCTGCATGCGCTCTGTCCCCCAAGGTTGGCGCCGTCGGAAGTTCTCACGTCTCCCCACATCTGAGATGCTGTTGACCCATCTGTGAGGGAAGACCAGGCACCGCCGGCCACAGTGGCTGGCGGGCTCTCTCTGCTCTGGTGCAGTAATGGCTGGCATCTGCAAGCGGTCGCTGCTCTTGATCCTGCTCATCGGCTGTTACCCTGAATGCTTTGCGCTGCTTGCACTCAGTGGGTGGCTATCAGTGAACAAGATGAACATAAAGCAACATTTCTGTAAGTGCTGATTAGCACAGCTGTCATGGGTCACTTTTTGCAGGCAAAGGATAAGTGTGTCCCAAACTGGAATCTTTAACGTGCAGGTATTTCAAAGGCATTACCTGCTATGTTATGGCTTTGGGGTATCCATGTGTTCCTGTGACGTGCGTGCTGCTAAAAAAAGATATAATGAGGACTAAATGCACAGTAGGGTGGAAAATTAAAAGAGTCTTTTGCTCCAGAGTTCTCATGCAATAAAGAAGAGACCAGAGATACAGAAGTCACAGATTTAAAAAAACAAGCACGGGCCAGGAAGTCAGAGCTTGAGGCATGTAGAAAGCCGAGTGTAGACTGGCTCAGCGCTGGATCCCATGAGCCTAGAGGCAGGTGGAGGTAGGGAGGGAAGAGTCTGCAAAGGAGTCAAGCGGAAAATGGTTCCATAAATTCGGAGTGGGACTGGGCCAAATTAGGGCACATACGAGAATAAAGATGACTCCATCGAGAACAGAGTGAGGAGACTTGATTAAAAGCAGTTTGGTTACAACAAATTTTGCAAAAGAAAGTGATAACAGGTTAAAGTCTAATCTAATTGCAAACGGAATAATTGAGAAATTGAAGCTGACCTGGAGTGTTCTGCTGATTTTCCTGTTTGTCTCCAACAAAAGCATTTCCCCCGAGCTCCTAGCGGCCCAGTGGGTCGGGCTGGTCACGGG